TCCTGCTCAACTCGTGAGGAACAGGCTATTTCTGGCCTGTTCCGCATCCCTGTTTACGTGCCTGAGTCTTAGGGGCAGGTCGAAACAATGAGGGCCTGAAAATGGCCCTTCGTTTCAGGCTGAAAACTCTGGGTCTGAAAAGACCCAGAAATAGGCTGAAACGGGGTAGGGCCTGCAGGCCCTCGTTTTTCAGCTTTCAGGCTGAAACGAACGGGGCCTGTAAGCCCTAAGTTTTAGGCTTTTAGGCTGAATGTCCGGGACGGGCCCTGCAGGGCCCGTGTGGCTACGCAGTACGCCACACCGACACGTCTATGCGGCAGACCAGTCTTAGCTGTAGTAGCTTGTGGAAGTGCCCGTTGGGGAGGAGAGTACCATGCTGGCTAGACTTACACTCGGTGTACAATATATAGGAGGGCAAGGCCGTATCGGCCCTCTATACTCAGAAGGATGGGAGGTTTGACGGTGGACCGCAAGGCAAAGTTATGTGGAAAGCCCCCTGAGGATGATCGGAGCACAACCGATTGAAACACGTCGGGGATTGTGCGCGTGAGCTGAGATGTGTACATGTGGTTATGTTTTGAAGATTTTTCGAAGCGTGTACGAAAGGCAGTTGGCCACTGTTTTCACTATTCTTCTTCTCCTCCATCTTTCTTTTCAGCTTCATCTTCTTCTCCTCCTCCATCTTTCGTTTTCAGCTCTCCAAACTTCTCATCCCCTGTTTGTTAGACCTCCATAGTGTGCAAACGACACATGTGGAAGAGGGAATATCTTCTTTTTTCTTTCCACACATGGTGGGAACTGGGCCCGGCATTGCTGATGAAAATACAGAAAACAAATTGAGGTACCCGGGCCATTACCCGGCTTTGGATGAAAACAGGGTAATCATCCATGGTGGTAGGTAGGAACAACTATCGGTCAAGGTTACAACTTTTACTAACCCCTACCACGTAAGACCCAAACTTTCGAACCTATTTCCTGTTGACGTATAGTCCACAAGGACTTAAACAGTCTATACTTTTAGAATTTCGTACTACTGGGATATGCGTGACACCCACCCTGGCCAACCTACAATTTTAAGGACAACCCGCAGAGTCCTCAGGAATTCTTTAAGTTTGACAAATAAGATGACGTGGGCAGGAGGGGTCCTGCAATCTCCCCAACTAGGTCCTCGTTACTTAGCTAGGACCGGTTGCTACTCCTGGGATTAACGTTTCAAACCGAGGGTCCCATTGTACAACCATGCGACCAGGTAAGTTGGCAACCCTACCCAAGTCCTGATGAATGATCTTATTAGAATAGGGTTTTACTGGGTACTCATGCCCCCAGGTAGGCTGGCAACCCAATCCGCGTCCTGTGAACCAGGAAGGAGTCTTTACTCCAGAAGATATTCCACAAGGTGCCTGCACTGCTCTTGCCTACCCTAGACCTAATGACACCAACAGATTTGACAAAATAACCGCTTGTACCTAGGAAAGACTGGTGAATCAGGCCCAGGCAAGGCTAGGGATGAAGATGCACTTTCCTATTGCTTAATGACGCTCCACGAAGCCTGGTCGCTGTGGTGGGTCTTCCTCCTCCATGCTTGGCTTTATTCACCCTCACTGGCCGCTTCTAGTTCGGCCCTCACTTCCCTGCATTTCGCCATTATCTTTCCCCAAGCCGCTGATTGCAAACACCGTCTGGCCTATTTCACGTGCCTACACCTCCTCCACACCGCACTTCGAGGACAGTGAAGTACAGTCCGATACTTGTGCAGTGATCCCACTCAGCTCGCATCTAATTGTCAACGATGCATGCTCCCAACTCAAACACACTACACTCACACATACCAGTAATGAAATGGAAAAAAAATGCCAATTGGAAATTATTATTAGAACTTTATAGAATATCATAGCAGTTTCAAGTTTCAATTTGAATATACTTGGCAGTTGTGGCTGCCCTTGCCTCAGCACAGGTAAGTTCCTCTCTCTCTCTCTCTCTGTGGGCATCGCCACACCACTCTCGAAATGTGCAAAATGAGAAAGAACTTCCTGATAGAACATGGTGGTATCAGAGCTGGTTCCCGCTACCTCACGCGCCATCGCCGTTGTAGCAGGAGAGAGACGCGTAGGCGCCATTGCAATCAGACTCATTCTCAGACACACTTTTCATGCATGTAAACAGCAACGCAGCATACTGGCGACATGCGCCCACTCAAAACTCAGAGATATGGCTTTCAGATACGAGTTCACTCTCCATTGGCTATGGCGACTTCAGCGCCCAAACATCTCACTGTTCACATACACTGGATCACC